TTCTAATTCGAATTCAGTTATCCAAATATTTATTTGCAATTCAAAATACATATTTAAATTTACAAACTTGAAAAATTTAAACAATTTAAATTATCAAAGGTTTGATGGCATAGTTAAGAAGTGGTTGTTAAGAAAAGATAAACATAACAAGTTAACATTAATAACTAACAACTCTATAAACATATAAAATAACATTTAAACTTGAAATATAAATTAGTTTGAAACTAAAAAAATAATATTATAATTAATTTTTAAATGTCATTGTTAAAACATAAAATTATTAATATTTGACTAATTATCAAAAATATACATTAAATTAAATATTTAAATTGACTTCCATGTCATAAATACTTATTAGAATATTTATTTAGAATTGAGTTTATGTTTGGTATAAAAATTTTTGGAGTTTAAATATTATTTTTTTGAGTTTCGGATATCAGTATCGATTTAGGTTCAATTTGGATAAAATCCAAAATATCATAGATTAAGAGTCATTCTAATATTAGGTTGGGTTTATTTCAATTTGAATTTTCCTTTTATTAGATTCGATCGGTATAGACTTTTGGTTTCGTTTTTTTTGTCTATCCCTGAATAAAATTATTTAATTAACTGATTCTTTTTTTTTTGAACAAATTATTAACTGATTCATTTTAAGTAAACTAGTAAGGCCGAACAAAATCAGGTTTTGATTATACAGTTTGGATAATGAAACAAATTATGCTATCGTTGATTAAATTGTTATTCTGTTATTCTTTTTTGCACACAACTGGATTGTCAGTTTTTTTTTTCTCTTATTTTGTCTTAGCTAACTCTATTTTACTATAATCACATACGTCAATGCATACTTTATTTCTCGACCCCTATGATCAATTCTATAAGTCTTTATTTGTATAATTGCGATGCAAGGCTGTTATTCTCTGTTCTTATTTTCTTATGTTCATACCTTTCGGCTTATTTTCTTTCCATTCTTAAATCCAGTGCTCAAATAAAATAATTTCGGAAAACATTTAAGCTATACAAAATATTGTGGACAGTGTATTATGATTGCGAAGTAAATCATTATATTTCATTGAAAAGGATTCATTTAAAAAAAAAAATTATCAGTTATGAAATCTGAAATTCCATACATTTGTTAGACCGAAATCCAAATCATATAAATAAATTCGGCTTTTACTAAAATCGTTAATTGCAAGTTTTATTCGCCAATCAGCATGCCATATTCTCGACTCATTTTTCATTAGTAATAAACTAATACGTACTATACGGAAAACGATATCCTTATTTGTATCATAGAAAAAAAAAGCTATGCTAGGCTGCATGTGCTTCTCCTCCTGTTTTTACTTTTTTATTGCTTCTGCTCTTCTCATTTCATTCTTTTTACAGTATACATTGTTCCATTGTCCTACTTTTGGCTTGTCTTGTTTCCATTCTACGTCCCGTGATGTAATCAAATCTAGTGTTAACATAAAAAAGTTTAAAAATCTGTTTCTTAGTATCTTTATACAAGTAATTAGAGGAGGAGATTAAGACGTGTCGAAGCCTTAGAAACTGTCAGAAAACGCCAAAAAAATGTTTGCCTAAATACAAAGCATAATCCTGATCAGTGTCTTAGTGATTAGTATGTCTCTTATGCCTTCCACTAAACGTAAACATTGCATGTGCCAGCTATGACCACACATACGACCACTTAATTAGTGATAAACTGATAACTAATGATTTCTCCTTTATTCACGCTATTATCCTATAGTATTAAAAATACATTAAGGTTTGATGAAGTCAGAGGTGCAAACTGTCAACTCAAAGTCATTCTCTGGTTATAAATTATAAAAAAAAAATACAAAGTTATAAATTATAATTTTTCAAACATTTTATCTATTTTCTTATATTTTACGGGGTAATAAGATACCGAACTCAATTTTTTTTCTAATTGATATTAATCAATGTCATATGGTCCGTGAAAGCTATGATTAGTTATTTCCTAGCTCATAAGATAAGAGGAAGACTAAAACTTTTAATTAGGTTCATCCCCTCTGCTAATGATATAACTAATCACCGGCTGATATGAGAACAAATAGAAAAAAATGCTTAGGGTGATAATACATAATTATTAAAACAGAGAAGATAATCTATTAGTATAATTTTAGGGAAATTGAAAATTCTATTTAAAATAGAACCAAAAAGCAGATTGACGGAGACGTTCCGTGGGTCCGTAACGGTCCGTAGGTACAGACAGCTAAGCGCAGTGTTCCTTTTTCCCTCTTTTTTTTTCATGCGTAAACCATCGGAGTAAGTTGACTCGTATTTGACCAGCAGGCTAACACATCACCTTCTAGTGTTCATAAGCAATGGGGTCTTCTCATATAGTCTTTCACAATTAAAATTGTGAAAAATAGTAGAGGATTTTTAGATAAAAATACTCATTTTTAAGAGAAACCTATCTTTTCACATGTTGTTATGCAGTGTTTTATTTATTTATTTTATAAATATTAATTATATAATTATTTTTTCAAAACAAAAAAAAACTGAGACTCCTAGAGCATCTACAATTACTCATGTGCTGTTATTTGTTAAATCGTTTTCGCTTGCATTTTTTCGGTTTTATAACATTTCAAGGTAGAGCAATTTTTAGTATGGAATAATACATTGATCGTGGATAGAAAATATCTGACTGAAAAATGATCGAGAAAACTCTGATTTATCCAAATCAGCTGATTAAATTGACTCTTAGCATTTTCTTTCATTGTTATGGAAAATATTAATATCACGATGCTAGTCCAATTTTAGGATTCTTGGACTCGTTCTTAACTTCTTACCTGCCTACAAAAATCAGAATTTGTTTTGAATACCTTTTTCCATTTTTTAATTTTAAAGTTGAACCCTATAAATTTTGATCATGGAGCTATATATCTCCATTTTAGGCATATAATACATATGCAAGGAATTTTTTTACTATGATTAAATTTGAGTGGTTTAAATAAGGGACTGAATTTGACCGATTACTAACACTACTATTGGTTATTGTTTGGAAAGAATATTTGAATGTTAAATAAATTAAAAATGTGACTCAAATTCGTTTTTATCTAAAGTTCAAAACTGTGAAATCATCTTTATCTTGCACTTTTTCAGTATTCGAAATCATCTTTAAAATATTTCAATTTTACAAAAAAAAAAAATTTATATTCCAAAAGATTGAATATGGGATACAAAAGAACGAACTCCATTGTGTAACTATTATATTAGATTGCCATCCTTTTGGTAAAATTTATAAACTTCTGTTTACCTTTACAATTAATATTTTTATATCGAATGGCTTAGCTGAGTTGTGTGGGATTTGCTCGAATTATTTAATCAAAATAGTGATAAGCTGCATGTTTTGCATTTATATAGATCTTTGCAATATAGTAAGCGAGGACAGAAAGAGACACTACAATGCCGATGCATAGCATTTCGATGAAATGGTCATGCAATTATTATTGTAAGCAATAATGAACTATGCAGAGGCTAATAAGATTTGGTAATAAGAAGGCAAAATTGAAAAGAGGAAGATCCTTAAAATCAAACAAGTGGGGTACGTGCGTACCGCATGAGGGGGATGCACCCTACCCTCCATATCATGCACTTGATTGACCCACATTTATTTGTTGTTTATGTTTAACCATTATGTTTGCAAATACTATGCATTATTATTTGTTGCAAATATATGAATCACATGTAAATTCAAGTAAATCGATAAGAGAAGTGTGTAAGTATATATGACTTTGTAGAGAATATAATGATTATGATCAAATTTGGAGAGGTAGACGCATATAAACTTTCTCAAATGGGTATTTCAACGTCGTCTTGTTCCGAACAACAGTTGTAGCGTTAAATGCGAGGTTATCTATGAGTTCTTTCACTCCTTCAACATATTTATCCTTTATTATGTTGTAGTATTTTTCGTTCATCGTTTTATCGTCAAATTTATCTTCGGATGTAATCGTCTAAGCCCATAATCTTATAATTTAATATTATCAGTTGGTGCACAAAAAAGAGAGAGGTAGACACATCATATTAGACCGAGAGTAACAATTGCATATGGTTTTATGATTCACATTAAAAACTAAGATATAATGATTAGTTTTTGCATATTTTCTTTGGCTGCTTGTTGTTGTAAGAATATTTTTCAAAAGCAAGATAGAAAAAAACTGAGATGGGGTATCGTCGCACATGGGGGCATGGACAAACTCCAAAAATAAATGTTTTGGTACGTCGTGTTATATTAATATAGTTTCTGTATAATAAGAAAACATATGTTTATGAAAAATAAAATTAAGTTGTTCGATCGTGATTCAAAATAAAAGCATCTTCGGTTACCATTTAACTGCTAGTGGCGAGAGAGAAGCTTATACAATTGTGTGTAGTTATCATAAATGAATAATAATTCTAATAATTCACGGTGGCTGCTACACCCATGTGTTGGTTTTATGTCTTTCAAATCTTCTTATGGAACATAACTTTTTTTTTTAAACTCCTTAAATAGCATCTGAAAGTTAAGAATTTTATTTTGGATTTATCTTGGCAATTTTTATGCATGATTACTCAGATTTAAATGTCTTGTTTTTTCATCAACAAATTTAATGCCTTTTTTTTTGTTTCTTTGCCAACAAATTTAAATGTCTTTTCAGTTTTATTGTCAAAAATTATATAAATACACACGTGTAGACTAATAGAGTGATCGATGTGATACATCAAAACCCGAATCTTATCATGTTTTAATCAAAGTTGCCATAGAAATTATTTCCATAATCGATTCCATTAACACAATTATCAAACACAAAGACTTTTAATACGAACCATACGAATTAACCAAATAACTGCAACCATAATATAATCACTAATTCGAAAAGACAGATGCGAGAAGTGCAATCTCGTAAATATCTCTAACCTCAGTGGCATAGTTCTATATCCTTCACTATTTAAACATCGTCTCTCCCAAAATGCTCAAACCCTCCCCACCTGACATTTTTGACTAAACCAGAGAATATATAAAACAAAAAAAAAGAATGACCGGAGGTCACGTGAAATGCAGCAAGATCCGTCACATTGTGAGTCTCAAGCAAATGCTCCGACGATGGCGAAACAAAGCACGGTTATCCTCAGTCAGCCGTTGTGTACCGTCCGATGTTCCATCTGGACACGTGGCGGTATGCGTTGGTAGCAGTTGCAGGAGATTCGTGGTGCGCGCGTCGTACCTGAACCATCCGATACTCAGTAATATTCTTGTAGAAGCCGAGGAAGAGTACGGTTTCGAGAACCAGGGACCGTTGGTTATCCCTTGCGAAGAATCGGTTTTTGAGGAAGCGATCCGGTTTATTTCCCGGTCTGATTCTTCAAGGTCAAGCCGGTTTACTTGTCCTGACGATCTTCAGAAATGCCACGGAGGGATTAAAAGCATGATGATTGAATCTAGGCCGTTGCTTCACGGCGTCGTTGAGAAAGTCGTATGGTGAAGAGTGTTGTTGGTTCGTACGATTTTTGATCCGGTTTGATCGTCATTGAGTCAGCTGAGTTACTACCGGTTTGGGTGGTGTTGATTTTAACCGGTTCACGGTTAAATATTTTAGGTTTTACTAAATATTTAATTATATTGCGGGCTGGTGGCGATGTTGCGGGTAGAGAAGGAGATGGCGGTTTAAGAGGTGGGTGAGTCGTTCCACCGTGTCATCCCGGGTTCGAAGCTGAGTTCAAGACTGTAAAATGTAAATAAGACAAATGAACATTTTGTTATCTGATTTGAATATTTGTCAGCTTTCTATTTAATTAAGTAATTTTCTTACAATCGAATTTTGTGCTAATTACTTCAAAATTCACTATATTTCTTGAAATAACATAACATGCAAACTTGTCAAATGGGTTTATTTGTTTTTTTGTACCAACTTTCTTTATTACTAAATTTGAGAGTTTACAAAATCAGCATGTAACAAAGCTGATAAATATGCATGGTGGCACATAATTATAGTAAAATGTAACGGTTCTGTTGATTTCCATAGGTTGCAATTTTTATTCGCAATACTTTTACTAAATGATTAACATGAAGCTTGTAAAACTGTAGTGGATAATAAGCTATTTACTCGAGAGTTTACTAATGCCTTTTACATTTACATTAGAAGGTTTGAATTTCAAATTTTAGAAAGTACAATTAATCATTAATTATGCAAATTAATAAATGTTTATATATAATTTTTAGCATGGTATAATTAGAATTTACAACTGTGAGGTAGAAATTTTTATATAGTTGTTCAATATGATATAAGTAACACCACCAGACCAAAATTTTATAAAAGAATATAGAGTTATTGGTCACAATATAAAAAGAAATAATATAATATATTTTTAATAATTATATATTCTTCTATAACCATAATTCTGCACGATTTTTTTTGAGTTTCCAAATATAAAATGTTCAACGAACTATAAGTCTATTTTATGCCAAGTTACAAAAAAAACTATAAGTATATTTTATGAAATTAAAATAGTGTATCCGACCAAGGCCATGTGAAGGAAAGACTATTAACCAATTTTCTGTTTCGCCTGACTGTGCTCAACTTCTTCTCTTGTCTTCACTTTCTCCATCCAGTAAAAAGTACAGTCTACGGTACACATAATCATTCACATGGTTTCCTAAGGAACCTCCGAAACTGTGTACTTTAGATTGTTTAATTAACTTAAATAATTTGAAAAAAGTCTAACTCCTAAACAAATGCTAGAAGCTAGAAGGTAGTTTAGATCATTACCACGTCTTTCCATAGTCTATTAATAAAACATGTATTATTTATATGTTTATGTGAAGAGAAGAGTCATTTTTAACTTGATAATAAATCCAATTTATCATTTCATCAAGCATGAGTCATCTTCTTCTTTTTTGAAACTTAGCATCTTCTTTTACAGTAATTTAATATTTACTTTGCTTTTATAGGTAATATTATCTTCTAGTTACTTGATGAGCGTGAGTAGTTACAACTATTAATCGAATAGTTGCGGCGCCATAAGTAATTTGGTAGATGTGGTACACGCATATGGACCTGTTCACTAAGGTCTAAGGTCAATGCGAAGTAAATGTGGTGGTCAAACAGATTTATAATGAGTGAGAATAATTTGACGGGATTTGATTTAAATAAAATCTGAAACCTGTTTAGTTATTTATATGCACTTATGTAGTGCGTTTTTTTCAATAACATAAGCAGAAGTCATTTGGATTCAAAGTCATTTCGTATATTTTCGGCTGAGTATTTTTTTCATCTTTTGGCAAAGAAACGGTAGATATGGAAATATCAGCTACCTGTTTTCAGTTACACCTAAGATTGTAAAGATTTGAAAAGGAAATGCACTTAGTGAGAAAATGTGTTACGATACTTTCTAAAAGTTATGATAATGTTATATATGTATATATGAAAATGACCCTGTCTCCGTCCTAAACCCCACAAATATACGATATCTGGCATATGCTCAAACATTTTTCTCTACTTCCAAAATCACCTCCCCTGAAAAAAGGAAAGAAAATACTTTACAAAACTATAAATTCATCAATATACATATAAATATTTACATGTACTTGAGTATATGTGGGAACATTGTACCGCCATTTGGAGTGACATGAATTTATATGTGTAAATAATTTAGAATAACAATTCCTACGTTTTTAATAGATAATATTTTAGAGAATTTTTTTTTCCAAATTATAAAACTCTTTAAGTTTTTGATATAAAACTTATTAACTGTTTATGAAATTTGACCACTTATATTTTGCAGTCTATGTTATTATTGATTGAATTGTGTGTTACGTGAATAACTAATGATGTTTTTGTTTATAAAATATATAATTAGTTATTTTTTTTTTAATTTATGTGTATAATCCTAAAATGATTTTAATAAAAATGGTGGGAGTAGAATTTTCTCGTCGAAAAAAATATAATCAGATATACGTCATTGCTGGATTCGTAAAGAGTAGTTTTATGATAAAATTATTAGGCATAAACTTAATTAAGTATATTTTTTTGGTTGAGAGAAGAAAACGAGAAAATTCTTTGAAAGGACAGCGAAGAGAAACCAATTGGGATCCCATCGATCCACTCACGGAACTTCTCAACTATGAATATAACTTAACTTTTGGAAAAACGAAAGAATTGGGTGTTTAGGGAAATATTAGATGTTATTTAGACGTTTAGAGTGAGTGCTCCTTCGAACGAGTAAAGTAATAATCGTTGACTACTTCTCATAGACTTTAGATTCTTCATAGTTCACACATTGATCCCATTCAAACTCATTCGCGCTGATTTATCAGTTCTCTTGTTTTCGTTTTCTAAATGATTTAATCTCTATAATATTATTTGAGAAGTCACTTTCTTAGGTATCGCGCTTACGTTAACTCTCATGATGGTTGATTACTATGATACCCCTAATTAAAAATATAATTAAATATTATTTCTTTTTTAAAAATTTCCAAATAACAATATAAAATAATATGAAAACATTTATAAAATTTACAAAACTATTTAAAAACGAAAATATAAATATATATAATATAGTTTAATAAAAAAAAGAAAATTCACAAAATAGTAATATTTAATTTAAATATATTTTAAATAGCATAAAATATACATTTGAAGTAATAAAATACTTTATACGTATATCTTCTTAGATAAAAAACAATATATGTATATAATGTGAATTCATAAAAAAAATTCACACAAAAATATTGCTATTAGAAAAAGAAATATTTTTTCTTTATATATATATTTTCAAAATAATTATTTTTGTATATATCTATCTATTTTATTAGATGATTACATAAAATAATCAACTAACATAAACTGAAATATGTTTAATTGACATTTTTATAATTAGTATTATTGAAATTATTTTTTTAGTATATTGATTTGACTATAATATCTTACAATTACAGTGGAGATATAAATTATATTTTACTTATATAGTATAATTTCACAAAAATAATCACTTTTTACTGACTATTTTAAAAGATATTAAAAATAAAACTAAAAATAAATTTAATAATAAAAATATTTTAATCAAGTAACTACAATTATTTTAAAATATCACAATAATATATAATTTAACGAGGTATATATATTATATTTTAATAGTTAAAATTATCTGTTTTAAGAATAAGGATTCCAATTTACTTAAGTATTTTGATTATAGTTATATTAAGTTTCACAGAAATAAAAACAGAAAATAACTACAATTATTTTAGAATACCACAACATTATACAATTTAACGAGGTAGATACATTATATTTAAATAGTTAAAATTATCTGTTTTAAGAATAAGGATTCTGATTTACTTAACTATTTTGATTATGGTTATATTAAGTTTCACAAACATAAAAACATAAAATAACTACAATTATTTTAAAATACCATAACATTATACAATTTAAGGAGATAGATATATTGTATTTTAATAGTTAAAATTATCTATTTTCTTAATAAATATTTTGATTTTGAATTTTCTGTTTTTATGTTTGTAAAACTTAATATAACCATAGTCAAAATACTAAATCATAATCCTTATTTTTAAAATTATCTAAAATAAATTTCAGTTTACCATCCAATCAATCTAAAGCATAAATTTGTGTAGAATTTATAAAATATTTTAATTATTGTAAATATTGATATGTGTTCAAAAGCTTCTAAAAATTCATTAGTTACTTATGTATGTAATTTAGAATCAGAAACTTTAGTTTTTATTTTTATTTTCCTTCTAAGCACAAAAAATCTTAAGTTATATATAATCTTACTAAATATACTTATATTTCTAAGATAACAACCAGCATAAATGCAAATAAGGCAATTAATCAAAAATTTAATATATTTAAAATGTAAAAGATTATAGTTGAATTTAGAGAAATAGATAGATTCCAATATATCTAAATGATAACTAAATCGACCGTAAAAACAATAAAATATACTAAATGTAACATATCTAAAATTATATATATAACTAAAGGAATATAATATTTTAATATAAATTAGACATACAAACTATAAATTATTGTATATTTATTTTATAAATATACATGTCCGTGCATAAGCACGGAAAAATCACCTAGTATATATATATATAATGTATTACTGAATAATATACCAAGGATACTTGCAATTTTTTCTTAATTCCAACTAGAGCAACATGCAGAGAAGTTCATGTACATGCACCATAGTCGGTTTGGGCATATTACCCGGATCCAAAAATTCAGATTGGAATCGACTCAAATATACAGGTTCTATTCGGATTTGAGTTTTGTGAAAAGTATCTTTTGGAATTTTTAGATCCACGGATCTCTGTTTGGATCTGGATCCTATCCGAACACCAATCATGCGTCCAAAATTATCAATTTTTTGGTACATATAAAATATGTTTGGATATTTAAATATATTTTTGTAATTTTTATAAGTTTTGGCTTTTGAGTTTAAGTTATAGTTTTGGATTTTAGATAATATTTCAGATCGCTAGATATACATTTTGTGCATCTGGATATAATTTTGGGTCTTTTAACGAATTTTAGATCTTATTTGGATATTTTGTGGATATTTAAACATTTGCATATTTTGAAATTTCAGGCATTATAAATTTTGGGTATTTTTGAATTTTCGAGTAGTTTGAGTATTGAAGTCTTAAATATCTGAACTAAATCAAATGTGTTATGTATCCAAAAATTACATATATATTTACAAGTATTTTAATTTTAGGTTCGAACCGATCCTGATTCGATATGAACCGAGCTGAATCCAAACTGTAATTTCTAAGTATCTAGTTGGATCTAAATGTTTAAGATCCAAATGATCCTGATTGAATAGGATGCGATCCTAAC